TGGTGCTGCCCATGCCGCGGCTGCGTGGGCTGGCGGTGCTGTCTGCAGAGAGGAAAGAGGCCCGGCGTGGGCGTCCGCGTCCCCACAGGGGCCGTTGCGCTGGTTACGGGATGAGGCCTGGGGGCCGGAGCTTCTGGGTCACTGGGCATTGAGATTAGTGCTGGCGGGGACAACGGAGGCAGGAGAGGCCCGGGCGGCTGCGAGCCGTAAGCTGGACCCACGCGATGAGCTTAAATGCACACTGAGACTCAGAGGAAGGCACCCGGGGCCCATTTGTCAGATGAGCAAATGGAGGTCCGGGCAAGGGACCCCTCCTGTCCCCGTCCTTCCTGCCTGCCTACGTCTCGCAGGGCAGAGGTGGAGCCTCCCCATGGCCGCCCTCAGGACCCGCGCCTGGGCACAGTCTGGGAGAGGGGACCAGAGAGGCCGACAACACGAGACCCTCGGAAGAGTCGGTGCACCATGGGGGCTGAGGCTGAAGAACAGAAGTAGAAGGTCACGGAGAGCAGCGTGCCCCCAACTTCAGGGGATGTTTAAAGGGAGGAGTGAGCCCAGCGCTGTGGGAGGCAGAGGCAGGAGGGTTGCGAGTTTGAGCCCACGCTGGGCAGTTTGCTGAGACCCTACCTCAAAGTAAAGGCCTGGGAACGGAGCTCAGTGCATAGGTCCTGGGTTCCAACCCCAGTGCCACCACCAAAAAGGAAAAGAGAAGGGCAGGCCGGCTTGTGGCAGCCTTGTCCAGCCAGGAAGAGGAGGTGCAGTCTAGGGGTTGGCGGCGGCCTTAAGCACCTGGCACGGAGGGGCAGGCCCTGGGCTCCCTGGGTATCTGCATTCACCCTGTGTAGTAGCCTCAGTGGCCGGCTGGCCCACTCCAGTCTTCCTAACAACTCAGAAAGGTATGGCTTCCTCTGGATGGCAAGGCTGGGTGACTGGGCCCAGGTGGGACTGCCGTTCCCTCCACCCACACTCTCGCTCAGTGCTCAACCTCCGCAACTGTACATGGCAGCCCCGCGGTCTCCTGCCAACAAAACAGAGGGCTGTTCCCTTTGACACCGAGTCTTCCTTTCCAGGGCTCATTGAGGTGATGAGGAAGAAAAGGTCAGGGTGGGTGGGGTGGGCAGGGGCCCGGGCTTGTGGGGGACAGAGGGCAGGCCTGGCGGCGTGCCAAGTCCCTCTGTGCAAACACGCGTGTGTGCCTTGGGCCGGCATTGTTTACCCAGGCAGCATGAGCGGCCCGCTCCGCCCCAGGTCCCACCCTGGCCTGTGCCCACACCCTGCCCGGGGTGGCTCCACCCTGCAGAGACCCCCCCAACTCCTGTGCCTGTCCACGTCCCCAGAGCCCTGTGCCTGCCACGTTAGGACAGCCTCTGCCAACACCTGGGCAGTGGGCCAGGCAGGCAACGTCTCCAAGAAGCAGGGTGCTGTCTTCCTCAGCGGCCTCTGTGGGTGGCGGCTGCTGGGGTCGGCAGGAGGGACGGGTGGGCATCTGCCCCCTGCCAGGCAGCTGGCAGCCTGTGACTCATTCGCACCCAGGCTCCGCAGGGGAAGGAGAGGGATGGAGAGGCGTGAGGCCCGGCCCAGGGCGCTGCGACCAGCTGCGAATTCCCGCCCTGCCCTCTGCATCCCACACACCAGCTCCCCTCACCCTGATGGGTGCCAAGGAGCTGCTCCCCAGCAAGCCTGGCCCCAGCTCCAACACGGCCCAAGTTAATGGTTAACATGGTGGCGGGAGAAGTGGTCCCCACAGCCCAGGTTGGGCTGTGCCTCGCTGGCAGGGACCAGGGCAGGGACTCAGGGCCACTCCGCCTGCCTGCGCCTCCCCAGCTCTGCGTGGCCACGGCAAGCTCCAACAAGTTAATGGTTAACATGGTGGCGGGAGAAGTGGTCCCCACAGCCCAGGTTGGGCTGTGCCTCGCTGGCAGGGACCAGGGCAGGGACTCAGGGCCACTCCGCCTGCCTGCGCCTCCCCAGCCCCCAGCTC